TATCACAACAAAATGTGCAAAGATCTGGAATCAGAAAACCAAAAAGGAAGAACATGCTCAACATTTCTCAAGCTGGGGGAACTGAAGAAAAAATTCAAGCCTCGACTTTCATTATTGAAAGATTCTCTGGGCAAATTATTGAATGATTCAGGCAGCAACAAGAGAAGATGGAAGGAGTACACAGAGTCACTGTACCAAAAGGAAATGGCTAATGTTCAACCGTTTCAAGAGACAGCATATGATCAAGAGCCAATGATATACTGAAGGAGGAAGTCCAAGGTGCATTAAAGGAATTGGCAAAGAACAAGGCACCAGGAATTGATGGAATAAAAATTGCAATCTTTCAAGAAAGAGAGGCAGCACAGGAGGGACTCACTCATCTCTGCCAAGAAATTTGGAAGACAACTATCTGGCCAACTGATCGGAAGAGATCCGTATTTGTGCCCATTCCAAAGAGAGGTTACTCAACGGACTGTGAAAATCATTGGACAATCTCTTTGATATCCCATGCAAGGAAAGTTTTGCTAAAGGTAATACAGAAACGGCTACAATCATACATTGAAAGAGAACTTCCAGAGGTTCAAGCCAGATTCAGAAGAGGCCATGGAACAAGGGATTATCACTGCTAATTTCTGATGGATCTTGGCTGAAAGCAGAGAATATCAGAAAGATGTTTACCTGTGCTTTATTGACTACACAAAGGCTTTTGATTGTGTGAATCATGACAAGCTATGGACAACATTGCAAAGTATGAGTATTCTGGGATACTTAATTGTGTTCATGAGGAATCTGTACCTGACCTGAAACAAGTAGTTGTTCGAACAGAAAATAGGAACACTGAATGGCTTAAAATTGAAAAAGGTGTGCGACAAGGTTATATTCTTTTACCATACTTATTCAACCTGTATGCTGAGCAAAGAATTTGAGAAGCTGGCTTATATGAAGAAAAATGTGGCATCAGGATTAGAGGAAGATTCATTAACAACCAGCAATAAGTAGATGATACAACCTTGCTTGCTGAAAGTGAAGAGGACTTACAACATTTACTGATGAAGATCAAAGAGCACAGCCTTCGGTATGGATTACATCTCAATGTAAAGAAAAAAAAAATCCTAACCATTGGGCCAATATACAACATTCTTATCAGTGGAAAAAAGATTGAAGTCAAGGACTTCATTCTTCTTGGATCAACTATCAACACTCACAGAAGCAGCAGTCAAGAAATCAGAGGACATATTGCATTAGGCAAATTTGCTGCACAAGACCTTTTTAAAGTGTTGAAGAGCCACGATTTTAACTTGAGGATTTCGGTGCGCCTTACCCAAACCATGGTATTTTCAATAATCTCATATGCATGTGAAAGCTGGAGAGTGAATAAGGAAGACCATAGAAGAATTAATGCTTTTGAGTTATGGTCCTGAAGGAGAATACTGAAAGTGCCATGGGCTACCAAAAGAACCAATAGATCTG